AGATAGACAGACAGACAGACAGACAGACAGACAGACAGACAGACAGACAGACAGACAGACAGACAGACAGACAGATAGACAGACAGATAGATAGACAGACAGACAGACAGACACACCGATAGATAGATAGATAGATATATAGATAGATAAATAGATAGACAGATAGACGGACAGACAGATAGATAGAAGTACAGACACAGACAGACAGACACACAGAGAGATAGATAGATAGATAGGTAGATGAACAGATAGATAGATAGATATAGACACACACACAGATCAGGTTCTGGTATGTATCTGTGTGTGTGTGTGTGCGTGCGTGCGTGTGTATGTACGTATATGTATGTGTATGTATGTGTGTGAGTGTGTGTTTGTGTGTGTGTTTGTGTGTGTGTCTGTGTGTACGTGTGTATGTGTGTCTGTGTATGTGTGTGTATGTATGTGTGTGTATGTGTATGTGTATGTGTGTGTGTAAGTGTGCGTGTGTGTATGTGTGTGTGTGTATGTATGCGTGTGTGTATGTGTATGTGTGTGTATGTATGCGTGTGTGTATGTGTATGTGTGTGTATATGTGTGTGTGTGTATGTGTGTGTGTGTATGTGTGTGTGTGTATGTATGTATGTATGTGTGTGTGTGTGTGTATGTGTGTGTATGTGTGTGTGTATGTGTGTGTGTGTATGTGTGTGTATGTGTGTGTGTATGTGTGTGTATGTGTGTGTATGTGTGTGTGTATGTGTGTGTATGTGTGTGTATGTGTGTGTGTATGTGTGTGTGTATGTGTGTGTGTATGTGTGTGTATGTGTGTGTGTGTATGTGTGTGTATGTGTGTGTGTATGTGTGTGTATGTGTGTGTATGTGTGTGTGTATGTGTGTGTATGTGTGTGTGTGTATGTATGTGTATGTATGTGTGTGTGTATGTGTGTGTGTGTGTGTTATATGTATGTTTGCCATTGTAAACCAAATTGCCCTTCAGGGATCAATAAAAAAAGTGTAATTTATTTATTATTATCATTATCAATATTATTATTATTATCATTATCATTATTATCATTATTATTATTATCATCATTATTATTACTATCATTATTATCATTCTTATTACCATCATCATCATCATTATTATTATTATCATTATCATTATTATCATCATTATTATTATCATTATTAATATATTATCATCATTATTAATATATTATTATCTTTATTATTATTATTATTATCATTATTATTATCATTATCATTATTATTATTATTATTATTGTTGTTGTTTTTATTGTTATAATTATTACTATTATTATTATTATGATTATTATTACCCTTATCTTGGTATTTGTCAGCCATTGGCATACTATGATTATGATTATGATTATTGTCATCTACATGTATGACGTATAGACACGCATACACACACTTACGCACACAGAGATAAGTACACGCCTATTTACCCATAGCCTAAGCCCACACAGACACACACATACTCGTAGCCTACATACACATACATACACAAACACACATACACACACAAACACACACACACACACACACACACACACACACACACACACACACATAAACACACGTTGTACTCAAGCACACACCACATACAGACAACGGCAACCTGCAATGCTGGTGTGTAGAAAGACATCTCATAATCTATGAATCTTTCTTAAGATTCCAGCAGTAGTTTCTCGGCTTTCTCATGAAACAGAAAAACACGATCTTTTCCTCACCACAATAGAGCTTATATCGGGTCCAGTTTTGATAGTTATGGCACACAAGAGTTCCAAACTTGGTCTTTTTCCAGCATGCATTCAGCTCCAACACCTGTTATGATGTAAAGAGTAAAGATTCCACATGTAGTATGTTTCAGATTCACCTACCAAATAATATTTTCTATCTATAGCTCGGGACCGGCCTCAGAAGTTCGAGGGATTCGTGGTCAAAATGAAAATTGTGAGGCAGCGTGGTGGAATCAGACTCTCGTCAAAATGATCAAAGTGGGGAAACTTGCATTTTTCCGCAGGTTTGTGAGTTTTTATCAAATTTTTGTTTTTTGGGTCAACACCTTTCATGCCCATTAAAGCACTCATTTTTGTGTGGATTTTTCCTAAAAACGTTGATTAAAGGCACAAAAAAATGTAAATTTTCAGTTACCACGGACTCTTAAGCTAAGGAAATAACTAATCTTTGGTGGCCATTTTCTCACTAATTTTACCTCTGAAAACAGGTGACCCCTCCACCTCCTTCACTGGCAAATATCTTGACTTGTATTCAAGATAAATGAATATTGTTTTTATTGAAATAAAGACAAGTGAACAAGCTTTAAGATGACACCAATAACTTTACATGCCCAAAAATTGACGAGAGCCTGATTCCACCACGCTGCCTCACAATTATTGTTTTGATCGTGACATCCCGCGCGCCCCTTACAAACGTACAAACACGAATACTTCTGTCGTCATGTCGAGTTAAAAACGCCTCAACGTAAGTCTGGGGGTACATTCGCAGCGCTTAATAGGTTTCCACTAAGGAGAAATCATGTGCTTTGGTGCTGAAAGTGTTTTAGTGAGACTTTTACGGCACTTTCAACACAGTTAGGTCAAATAAATGCCGAGGATTAAAAGTGTTATAACTGAGTAACAAACACAAAAAAGGATGAGGGGGAATGGACAAAAAGATGTTTGATAGAAAAGAAGGAGTAAACCACAAGTAAAAGCACCCGGCATCATCATGATCAGCATCATTGCCTTTTTCAGCCTGGCTCAGGATATAGGTCACGAACAAAACATTTTAAATACTTTCCACTTTTCCCTAAACCGGACTAGCCTCTTGATCTTATTGATGTAGAAGCTCCTCAGTTTCCAATGGTCGAAAAACAAATAGCCGTGTTTGTTCGTGTTTCTAAAACTTTCAGTCTTTACAGGGTGGAGTAGTTGGCCCTCCGCAAACTGACATTTTTCAGGAGACCAGATCTACGCACTTTACATGATGTAGTTGTCTCCTACGACAGACACAGTATCAGGGCAAGTCTTATTCTCTGCTACCCCCGTTGTAAAGCTATTGACCCCCCCCCCTCCACCCCACCTGCAGGGGCGAGTATCCGCCAACCACCCACTAAATCGTGATACCTACTATAGCATGGGCACTCATGAATGAGTAAAGAAAATCACATCGACAAAAGACATCCAGTCAATTGGTGCTGTGAAAAGGCAAGAAAGACACACAGAAACAAAAGAGGGAAAGAACAGAGGTAGCGCCCACCCATCAGTGACACCCTCCAACCAACCGCGGATGACCATTAAAAAACCCACACAACCCCCCCTGGTATGGGATGTGATATCTCAGTAGCTGATATGGGATGTGA